CGTCCATCTCTCTTTCCTTTCACCCGCACTAGGCGGCGGGCAAGCCCCTCTGCTGCCTCTGCTGCCTCTTCTGCCTCTCCTTCTCTCCTTCCATGCAGCCGCCCATATGGGCTTTTGGCCTTTCTCCCAAAAATTGCAAATAAAACAGTCAGTCCCCTTCGCACCAGTCCCCTTCGCAGTCCCCTTCGCACCATTCCACCCCGCGGGCAGAGAGTTTTCTGTTTTTGCAAAAACCCCGCGTCATGCGTGCCTCCTCCCACTTGGCACCTATTTATGTACATATGTCTTGTTTGCCTACAGTTGGGGTCGAAATAGCATAGCCATCTAGCTGAAGACTGCACGCAGCTTGTGGTGTGGCTTATTATTGCTGGGCTATAATTGTGGCCGCTGCTGTGTTGGCTCTCAAGCCCCATTTATGTTTTGTTTGTGTGAATATCATGGGGTATCGCATGTAAGTACGAATATTGGATGGACCATGTACTCCTCTCCTCCTACTCCTACTCCCTCCTCTCTCCTCCTCTTTCCTTCTGGTGGTCTATTTCTCTTCCCCTTCATCTGTTGGATGGCTGCTGCTGCTGCTGCTGTTTGGGGTTCGCGGTCGATCTGTGCATTGCCTGCCTGCCGCCGGCAACCGGTCACGTTTACTGTTGTTGCTCTCACACACACTCGCTTAAATGGTAGGCACAGCACCACACCAGCTGTGTGTGTGTGTGTGCTCTTTATAACTGTAAAAACATGCTCGCCCACTTCCTTTCGAGCCGGCCGGAGCGGCGCGCACACGTTGGAACGCATTGTCCAGCCGTCGTTCCCCCCCCGCTCCCCCTCTCCCTCCCCCTCTCTTTCTATCCCGCCAAATTCTTTGCTCTTGCCCCCCCCCACTCTTCAGCCATCTCGGGCTCCCCCTCTTAACCAATTTCCTTCACACATCCCCATCACCCCCTCCATCATCCCCATTACAGTGCGTTTGAGTGTTTGTGTTAATTATACCCTAACCGAGAGAACTATGGCTTTAGCGGGAAGGTTAGACATAACCCAGATGAAACAGATCACGTAAGAGATATGCCAGAAGACATAAAGTACCCCCCCCCGTGGAGGCGACAGATCTGTTAGGGTATCGAAATCCGTGTCTCCATCGGGTGGAATTTCTTTCACCGTTCCGTTCGTTAATTGTGGCAAATGTGCACAATTTAAAGACGGTATAAAATATCCAATTCCCATATCAGATATATGTACGACTTAAACAATTTTTCAATTTCAACACCCACCCATAATTTTGGCTTATTTTGTGGCTTTTACTTTGCCAATGTTTGTTGCTGTTGTCGTTGCTGTTGTCGTTGGCATTGGGGCGCCCCCCCCCTCCCCCCACAGTGCCCCAGCAAACAGCTGTCATTGTGTGCGCCCCGCCCCGTCTGTCTGGTATCTGCGTATGCGTGCTTGTGCATGACTTAATAGCGGATAAATGTTATATGGCGGGTCATATAAACACATTCATACTCGCAAGTACACACATTCATAGAGTACGACTATGTTTATTTGATACTTTGCACACAATGCACTGGCCATTGGCCATTGGCCATCCAAGCACCGAACCGTCCGACCTTCATTCATAATTGGATGTCATTCAAATATTGCTACCCTTGGTGGATGGTATAGGAACCCCCCAAAGAACTGTCGATAGGCGATGTTGCATCATAGCTGAAGTATTTCGCTTGGGCTGGGCTTGTACTTTAGGGTCAATAACGTTCGACCATCAAGCAAATAATATTCCCCAAAAATAACACGGAAGAAGCAATCCAAATATTTCTCTTTTTTATGGCTTTTATGGAAAATTTGCAGGCCAATAAATAGAGCAGAATAGTATATCATTATTCATGAAACTAAACCATAGATTTATTGTACTTCTCCACTACTTTATGTTGTGCAGATGTTTCGCCTGCAAATGATTTATTCTGCAGTCGATCCATAAGGGAATTGTTTGAATATTTGAAATTTATTATTACTCAGGAACCTGCCTCAACCAACACCAAACATTAAAGTATATGTATATGTATGTACGATTCCTTTGAAGTGGAGCAAAGAGAAGAGAAGAGAAGACTTTGTGCAGAACACTAAATAAGTATATTGTATACCGGGCGAACCATATCCGTCGAATGATTAATTCATGGTCTTTCTCGGGACGTCTGCGGGACTATGCAACGGGTTGTATGAGTAATATTTGATACGAATCGTGTATTCATGGAGATTCCGCTTCGTTTCATCGCAAAAATAAACACATAACTGCTCCAATTTGTTAGTTATACATATTTTATTAATCTTTTCACAATAAACATTTGGGCGCAGCAATATTTCTCTGGGCGCAGCCACACGACTGTGTGTGGCATGCGGCATGTGGTAAGCTCTTCTCCCTTCCTTTTTGGCGCCCGCCTGCAGATGCGGTTGGGGCAAAAGTGTTTCTGCTGCCTCATGCTGCTGCGAATGGCGTGAACTTTCCTCCTTTCCACCACTCCAGCTCTCCCCCCTTGCCTTTTTGCCCCACACTGGGATGATTTTCTTTCGTTCTTTCTCGCCCTCCCGCTGTGATTTCAGATTGCCCCACCAGCAGGTCCACAGACCAGAATGGTATGTATTTTCCAGCCAAAAGCATTTGGCTCCCAGGAATCTGATTATTTCTTTATACTCAAGTATTTAACACTTCAAATAAACACTTTTGGAATACCATTTGTGAGAAATATTCACCTGCAAATTGAGGACATGCTAAACAGTTTTGGTTCTTTGATAATTCATATAGTTGTTAATTAATCAATTATAGATTTAAAGCAATCATCAAAGCAAACCCCCCGGCGTATACGTTATATTCCGCTGAAACATTAAGTATACGCGGAGGTGTTGACATTTCTGAAGATGGAGCATTGCCTTTCGGTTTGTTATGCAGTTTGATGCAAGAATAACAAAAAGAGAGATGCCATATGCAAATACAAAAAGACAGGAGTAGATCTTTTAACGAAAATATTTATTTAATCGATGCTGGAATACATAAGAAAAACAGTTCCTTATTTTTTCCAAACATTGTGGGATTTTTTTAAGCAGACACAAGCTTAAGAAAAACATTGTTTGCCGAAAATAGATTTAAAGAACCGATTTTTGCAGCTTTACGGAAATATGCTCCAGGCTTAATAACAGCCAATCGTGTTAATGTCATGAGTCTTCATTAAGAGCATCTGATTTCTTTTATTGTCACCAACTATTTCGAGTTTTAAGATTTTAAGATAACTGATCCCGAAATTGATCCTCCATCTATACAAAAAAAGATTCTTTCGATTAGAGAAAGACAGATGATCTTCGGGCAAAAAAAACGATCAATAAAATGTAAAACTATTTTGCTACATTTACGTTTCTACCTACATACCAACTACATGACTCAGTGGCGACACCTACATGGCAATTCTACATGCACTTTACATGGATTTTACACAAATTATACACAAGTTAACGATCACAAGATAGAGAGAGAGAGAGAGAAAATAGAAAAGAGCGAAAAGAGCATTGTTTGTCGTGTGTGCTCGGTGCTCGGTGCTCGTGTGTGTGTTACAGTCGCGGTCTCTGCCATTGGAAAAGCAGAAAACTTAAATTCAAATTAAAGAAGGATTAAAAAAGTGAATTTCCCAACGATTTATGGCCCAACGGGGAATCGGGGACGGGACTGCAGATGCTAGTGTGCAATGTGTGGCTCTCCGTTTTGAGTGCATGTTTAAGCCTGTTTGGACCCGCACAGACGGACAGTCACATCCCAATGGAGTGCTTAAAATATGCATGTTTAAGCCCTGTTCGCGCGGTACAGTCATCTCCATTAAGTGCTTAAAATATGCATGCTTTAATTGGAGAGGCGACACTTGAATTTCACAGATGCTTCGGACACACAGATACAATCTAATGACTGGCATAAAGCGCTTGTCAGCAGCGGAGGTGGCGGAATCGGAAGCGAAACAAATCAAAATTGCCACCAAATTATCGAGTAAAAAAAAACCCACATCACCCAACACGAAACTCAATCCCCAATCACTCATTAGACCAACACAAAGAGGCGTCTGTCTGGTGGTCGATTTAGTTGATAGAATGCTCGTGAGCCCCCCACCGTGTGGGGCACTTCGAACAAAGCACCGCATTGCCCGGCAAACACCTGAATTCTGGTGCCCGATACGACACCCGGTAGCCGCATAGCACGGGGCATATAAGGCACCTGTCTGTAACTTGCAACAGGAAGAGGAATACCCCTTATAAGCAATGTTTGATTGATACTTGAATGCAAATGGCATCTACCCGAATTGAAAGACTTCCTTAAGCAAAGAAGTCCATATAAGTGGAGCCAAATTTATTTGGATGGGTGTTGAGGATTATAAGAAGCAAGAACTTCCTACTTTCATATAATGAAAGATCTAAAATCGCCATTAGCTATCGATAAAAGTGAAAAGATGACTCTTAGCCTCCCACCCAGGGCTGGGTATCGAATAATCAAATCACTCCTATCACCACCCGCAAGTTCTATTCAATATTTGACTATTGTTTCTGGCTGTAAGCGCTAATGCGTTAAATGAGACACTTGATGTCCGCGATAGGTCTCGATAGCTAATTAGAGCGATTTGTGGTTTGGCATAAATTACGAAAGAAGCGTTTGCTTTGCCACAACTCTTGCCTTAAATTTACATAATATCTATCTATATGTATGCGTGTACAGGTGTGTGGAGCACCCACGCAGTCAGCCATAATGTCTCAGAGCCCGGTTCAAGCGTATGGAACACGATGATGAGGCTCATACATACGACGCCAAATTGGTCAAAACAAAACTAAACGCAACGAACAAACAAAGAGACAGAGACAGAGACAGAGAGAGAGACAGAGAGAGAGAGACACAGAGAGAGAGAGAGAGAGAGAGCGATCTACCGCTCTTTCAGAGTATGACAGAAATTCTAATGATCCGCATAACAACTGAAGTTTTGGCGCTCACTTGCTCGACGGCAGTCGAAAGCGTCGGTTCGGTTTTTCATTGCTGCTCCGCGATCGGGCAGATATTACCCCCCGCCCTCCCGTCCCCCCGTCCTCAAGCAGGGGTTAAGCTTGATCCAAAGGTTAATTTGGCGAGAGAGATCAGAGACGAAGATCAGGGATCAGGATCAGTCAGCTATGTCGTTTTTCCGCAACATACGCTCCTCGCTGTCGTCATCGTCACGGGCCAAGAGTTCCTCCTCCCGCGACACGACGCCAGTGCGCACCTCCGGCTCCCGTCCGGCCAGTGTGGTCAGCGTGGGCAGGGCCTCCTCCAGTCGTCGCGATTCGACGACCAGCTCCACACTGCAGCGCGGGGATACCTTCATACTGCCCGGATCCGACGAGGAGGCCAACACGCACTCGAACAGCTCCACCCTGGAGAAGAAGTCGAAGAAATCGAAGGTCTTCGGAAAGTTCAGCACCTTCACGAAGCGAAAAAAGACGCCCGCCAGCGCGCCCGCGGAGGAGGAGGTGGCCAGCTACGAGCATCATCCGAGCGACACGGCCACCAACACGTACTACAAGTGGCGCAGCGACGGCGGAGATCGGCTGCAGGACTACGACGCGCAGTCGGATCCGTTCAACTTCCTGTACGAACAGCACTCCAACCTGAGGAACCTGCAGTCTGGCTCAGCCGGGGAGTCGTCCGTGCATCGGCAGGCCAGCATCGGGTCCAACTCCAGCGGCAGCTTCGACTCCTCCACGTACCGCAAGAGCAAGACGCCCACGCATCTGCGCGAGCAGCTGGAGCAGCTGAAGACCCACTCCAACGACGATCTGCTCGAGGACCAGCAGCGGGAGGAGGACGAGCGGGAGAAGTACAAGACGGTGACGTTGAACAGCTTCAGGAAATCGTTCCGCGAGCGCCTGCTCCAGCAGCAGAAGGAGGCCCCGCACAATCCCGCCTGGTTCGTGGAGGTGCCGCCGCCGCCCACCCCAGATCCCCTCAAGACGAGCGGCAGCCGCTGGGAGTCCAAGGAGAACCGGCCGGACTTCCTTGTCTTCGAGAACGACAACTACCGGCCGCAGTCGCGCTCCCCGCTCCGGGATCGCCCCTCCCGCTCTGCCACCCGATCGCCAGTGAAACGCAACGAGACCTTCCGCGTGGTGCAGCCCTCCCTGCGGCACATGTCGCCATCGCCATCGCCATCGCCTGCTCCCTCCATAAGGATCGAGATCAAGAACTCCATTTCGCCCCATTCCCCGGGAAGGTTCGTGCCCGTGGGCGTGGCCAAGCCCATGCCCACAACGGAGTACTATGCGCAGAGGCTGTTGGCCAGCAATCCGAGCAGACTGGGACCTCCATCGACTGCGAGAACCGCCAGTCCCAGTGCCTCTCAGCGGTGGTACCGCCCGCAGAGCTCTCCCACACGAATGCAGCCCACGAGGATGAGTGTGGACCCCCAGCAGAGCTCTCGGCTGAGCGTGAATCAGCAGCAGTCCTCGCGGATGAGCGTGGGCCATCAGCAGGCCTCGCAGCAGAGGGGTGGCAGGACCCTGGTGCACATCGGCAGTGACCAGAGCAGGTCCCTGTCCGCCGCCAATCCAATGCCCGCTCGAGGCAGGGCCCCCACGAGGGTGCAGCTGTACGGCAGCAAGCCCCAGAGCCGACAGCAGCAGCAGCAGCAGCCATCGTCGACGTACTTTGGAGGCCACTACAATGCACCTGCCACCCCCACCCACACCAGCAGCAGCGCCAACAGTGCCCCACTGAAGCAGCGGGGATCCTCCAGCGGCCTGGGTGGGGCAACGGTCTACGGCGGGGGCGTTCCCACCGTTTATTTGGGGCGTCGCGAACAGCCAATGACACGTGCCGCCCCCGTGCCCACACGACGCAATCGATCGCCCATCAAAATGCCCTGGCGATAGAGGGAGACAGAGAGAGAGAGAGAGAGACGGAGAGAGAGGGAGAGCTCGCGAAGTTCTTTCCGTAGAAAGACACCCAAGAGTGAGACCCAAGAGGTCTTGCGTCATGAGCGGGCACTGGACTTCGATCGTTAATGATTTATTATGTATCCATCGAATACAGCCCCTCTCGTATATCGTATCTATCGGATGTGTGTTGTGAATTTCGCTACGTAAAATTATTTTTTAAGTAAAGATCAATAATACGTAAATAAATATACGAAAATTTGTCTACTCAATTGAATATTTTTGTTATGTGGCCCCAAGGTGGGGATATTTTTTGTTTTTGTTTTTGTTTTTTTGTGGAACCAGCGAACCCCGAAAATTACAAGTACAATATGTCCCGTAGTGTTGTTGGTATAATTGTCAGCAAAAGAAAGCTTTGTGTGTGCTCTAAAAAAAAGAAAAAAATGAATTTTAGTGCCTTGCCACAGATACATATGTACATGGTTATTGCCTGTCTGTCGGTCTGTCTTTCTGTATGACTAACTGTGCATGAAAATGAGCCGAACGTTACGTGACAGGGGCATTAAATATGGTCATCCCGAGTGAGGGGGATTTCTAGTTAGAAAGCAGCTGATGGGGTTCTGGCCGTATTTGGTTTTGAAAAATATATATACATATGTATATATAAAGTTGTGGCAAATGATGATGTCAACAGCTAAATACAATAGTTGTTGTCATTGGAGATGATGCACGAGAGTAAAAGGAGCCTTTCTATGCGCTTCTCAAAGAGTTGAGCCCTGGCGCCACCTGTCGTGGAACTTTGCAGAGACTTCTTGCTCTCTCTCTCTCTCTCTCTCTTTGTGTGTCCTAATTAGTAGATCACTTCACTTTCTAAACTGGCCCCAGCCACAACCAGGCCAAGACTGTCGCCTGTGTTCGGGGCGGCTCTTGAGAGACGTCTTTAGTCACTCCACTGCCAGCCGCTAAACTTGGTCGTTGCAACTGTGGCAGCCACTAAGTAGTCTCTCCATACTCTACGCACGATCTTGAACCACATTCAGCAGCCATTAGCTGGATCTTAAGTAGAGTGTGAAAAATACTTGCCAGTTTTCTGCAATGTGAGCTAATACGCTCCGCCGTAACCTTGCCCATACGGCTGGCTGGCTGGCTGGCTGGTTGGGGGGAGGGGCAGATCTTTGCGTGGGGGTCTAAAAAAACAGGTTAACTTTTGAATCATCATCGGGCATCGGGCTTAATCGTGATCATTAGGCAGTGTAGTGCCCCCTGCCCTGCCCTGCCCTGCCCTGCCGTGAAACTCCACTCTTGGGCCTGGCTCTCTGTGAATTTCACGTTAATTTGTGTCGGTACTTTGTGCCCGTTTGTGTGTAGTTTTTTGGGGGATTTCTGTTTTGCAATAAACAAACACTTACTGTTCTGTGTCGCGGATTGCTTTGGCTTTGGCTTTGCTTCGGCTTGGGCTCTGGGTACACACTCGCACAAATGTTTATACAAGTTCCAGTCTGGTCTGGGGTTGATGTTGATGTTGATATACACAACGCATAGATAGATTCATTTCCAAGTAAACCAAAGACCGGTTTTCTGCGTTTGACAACGACGACGACCTACGGATTTCTATACCCTGTACGTGGTGGGGTATATATTTGTTGGAAACTATTTCAAAGCACATCCAGTGTGCATTTACATCCATAATTGTGTGCATGCTTCAAAATAGTTCAAACTATCATGAGAACCCACTAAAATTAAGAATATTTCTAGATATATTTCTAATACTTCAATTATCATAGACAATCCATCTCAATATCCCTATAAAAATCCCATTCTGGCATCGTATTTGTGTTTCAGTCGGATTGGATTCGTGATGCCATTTCTAAGCGAATATTATTCGAGTTATTCCACATTAATCAATGAAATATAATTCAAGAAAAGTGTCTATATAAAGTCATTCCTTTTCTGAATGTGAAAAGCCTATCCTTTGTCAAAGGATGATAGTAATTCCTTAAGAGATTCTTTCGAGATTGGATAAAGGAAATACCATCTGTAAATCGTCTTTTATCCCCTAAACACTTTAAAGGGTATTTGTCATTTGTTCCGCTGGATTTTCGAGTGCAGACAGTCGGGTGGCACATAGCGTCATAGCCTAGGAAAGTGTACGAGCTGTTGCCAAAGCGAACTTTGGCTCCAATTTATTTGGAGACTCTGATATTTTGCTAAAAAGCATTCTGTTTGGCTGTGCCAGAATTTGTAGCAGTGGGTGAACCCGTCGTATGAGTGGGCAGAAGGTGCTACACTTACAAGATATAAAGATACCAGATACAATACAAGAGCCCAGTGCCACAAAAGGCAATTGCAGCATAATGTTGCTGCTGCCGCTGCTGCTGTTGCTGGCTCATGTTTATTTATTCAGAGATTATTCAAAGATTATTCAGATTAAAAACGAAATTGGTTTACAGTCGATAAAAAGGCAACAGCAGTGACATCATGGGACTTTGTTTCGAGAGTTCGAAGGAGGAGAGAGAGACTGCGAGAGACTTCAAGATGAGAATCTCCCCTTTCTCCTGTCCGCCCCACACAAAGATCGAGTTGGACCCATTATAGATTTATTGACACTCTCATTTGTTTAATTGGGGGGACATTAATCTCCGCACTCGGGACGGGGGGGGCCGAGGGGGACCCGCCTAAGTGGAAATCAAACATTTGCCCAACTGCGGGGCCAAAGCTTGCAACTTAATGCCAACAATATCCTGGCCATGTCTGCTGTCCCCCATGGCACTGGAGGAGGGGGGAGGGGAGGACCATTATCTCTATGCCATTTTGGCCGCCTATGAACTGGGTCAGCATCGATTTTTGGAGCAGCGACGTGTCACAATTATCGTTCCCCCCCAAACACACAAAAAAAAGGTCAAAGAAATGCAGTAAAAGGGTCGCACAGGATATCCTGAATATTAATGCCTCAACTGAAAACCGCCGGCTCTCGTTTTTGGCAACAGGAAAACAGTTTCTACTGCAGTCTTCCTGGCCACAAACAGAAAGACAAAGAGAAATGGAAGCATGCCAAGTGCAATCTCGCTGTGTGTGTTTGTTTGTTCTTCTGGTTTGTTTGTTGGGGTGTATTTTTGGAACAAGTGCAACATCCACAGAAGCAGCAGCAGCGGCAGCTACTGCAAGTGCAACTGCAACATCTAGAGCAGCCAGAAAGCTTAACTTTTGGCATGTCGAAGCGTTTGCCGCTTGTTTGGCTCGCCAAATGCAATTTGCATCCCCCCACAACAGGGCTCCCCCGAAACACTTTAGATATATATGTATATGTATCTTTATCCATAGTTTTATTTGCGAAATTGTTTGGCGCAGTGGCCCGCAAATGAGCAGAGGGCACAATCGTAAATCTCTTGTCTTGTTTTCGGTTTTGCGAGCAAATTTAAAGCGTGGACTTGGAGGGAGTTCAGCAGGAAGTAGGGAATACTTCTCTGGAGAGACTCTCAAGCCATACCCATCTCATGCAACCCCGATTTCTTTCCTGTTGTTTCGCTTTAATAACTATGTCCATTTTTACCTTTCAGGGTGCCATTATCCGCGAGGTTGAGGATGGAGTGCGCTGTGAACAATGCAAATCAAATTGTCCTGGCTTTGCAGCACACGATTGGAGGTAAGCAATTTTCAGGAATTTAAATTAAATATACATAAATAAACTTAGAAACTAAACAATAATAATTTATCCAATTTGTTTCATTTAAAATTCATTCAAAACTTTCAAATATATACATATACAGCAAATACCACTTGAGCAGCACAATATTCCACGACCGCACTGTAAAGCTTTCTTGCAAAAGCTTTTTTGCCGTATAGTTCACACAGCGGCTGCCAGATGGCGCCACATAAATGAAAAGAAACGACTGTTGGATATTCCGTTTGAAATGTAGTTTAATGCTGAAACAAGAGAGATTTAAGAGCTAAGACGTTCGAAAAGAAAGTGGAATCGTCTTCTATAAATCCCCCCCCTTTCGTTTGAAGCGCCCAAGCCAACATTAATTGCCCCAAATCTGTAGAAAGATTAAGATTTTGTATTTCATACCCAAATACTGTGAATAGTGTGTGGGATCAGAATTTCGTTTTCGCTGCGATCGATGGATAAATGTTGAGTCAGCAATGCCAAAAACAGATTGAACCTCTTTTCAAGCAGCAAGGGGGGGGGGGGGAGGGGGGAAGCAGCAGTGGCCACAACAATTTTGTGGCCCATAAAAGCGGTAGAGAAATGACCAAAATGATGGGGCACGAGGCACTATCATCTACAATGGATCTGGAGGGCGATCTGCTGTCCCCCAGGGTCATATCGATGATGACAACGTTGCAACGTTTGCTGCACACAGAAAATTGTAATGGAAATTTTTCTGGCCGCATCCCCAATTTATTGCCCGGCCGTCATTAATTATCTTCATTATTTATTCATTGTTATGCTTGCACTTGAACTGCGTTGCGTTTCGTTGCTTTTCATTTTAGTAGCTAGAATTATGCAATTTTCCAAACGATTATGTGCTGCATTCTACCCCATATATCCCCCATTCAAATGGGGGGCAGTTGCAATTCGGGAAATTGGCCAAACACTTAGCGATTGTGGCCACAAAAACCATTTCAAATTACGCCATTAATCTGTGAACTGAATCGAATGTCCGACTGTCTGTTGTCTGTCTGTCGGCTGTCCGTTTGTCCATACGGCTGTCAGTCCGCCTGTCCGCTTCTACGTCCGTCTGTCTTCTCCTTTGTCTAACTGTGGTTTTTTTTTTGTGTGTGTTTTCTGTCTGATGCTGGCCGCATGCCAATTTCATTTGATGATTTACGGGGCGTATGCGTATTCTGATTCTGTGCTGCGCTGTTAAAAAAAGGGTATTACAGAACTATTGAAAAGATTCGAGGTAAAAGTATCAAAAGTATCAGAAAAGAAAAGAACAAATAATCGAGACTCGAAACCGAAGATTAAAGACTATCGGCATCGATATTGTTAGATAAAATATATATTTATCTACCTATCTATATATTAGATTTATATTTAACTTCTATAGGGTACTTTTATCTTCGTTCTGCCCAGAATTAGTTTTTTACACTTGTTTTTTTTTGTGGATTTTTTTTCCTCTATTTAATTTGTAATGTGTGTAGTTCGTGTTTTTGCATTTCTACGTGTCATTCGCTATAAATTACTAAAAGTTCTAGTTTTTTCTAGTGGGTCTTTTTCGTTTTTTTTTGTTCTGTATTTTTATGTGCGACTTTTATGGCCAAATGT